TCAACTGTCTATAACCCTCTTTATACAAGGCACACACTTCGTACCATTCTATTACCTCAGCCTATGCTTGTGCTTGGTCTCCACATTTTATCATGAGCCTAGATCCTGATCATTTTAAAACAGTATGTAATGAAGCATATTAGGATCATCACAATTATTATTACATTCATTCTCAAGAATAAAATCAGGAAGAACTTTGACAATTTAAAGTGAAAATAAGAAATTTTCATTGACTGTAGTATATTCTACAATAAGAATTCTGGAGATCTTCATCAGAATTTCTTCTTAGCGAAGCAGGAAATGAGACATTTGAAAGAAGCACAGATGCCTAGCACTGCTGTGATGCAAACGTGGAATCTGCCAAACTCAGCACATTCCAACTGCAGCAATTCTGAGTTTCTCCTGGAACAGATGATAACATCTCTCACATCCATATTCCTACACATTTTACACGAACAATTCCATGACATCACTCACCACAGGAAAAGACACCACACATTCTGCACGGGATTACACAGAAGTGTAAAGCCTTTCTAATTTGAATTCTTAAGTCTCTCCTGTGACTGTGAGTTTTTTGTCCCTGCATCAAGCTTTCAGTGATTGAAATGAAAGGGAAATGGAGTTTTCCCCCAGAGGAAAGCAAGGTGAGACTTTATCACCTAAAGCTATGTTTTAATTCCCGCCACCACCTGTCCCCACCAGGAGCCTGATATAAGGTGCAGCGATTCGAAGCATTATAAACGCACGTTTGGACACAAAACTAAAGCATGCTGCGTAAAAACAGATAGATTGATAAATCCTTGTACTTTTTTCTTATCTAGTACACAGAAGAGGGCAGCACAGTTAAAGTTTCACTTTATATGGCCACAAACACTACACATTGTGTTTCTGCCTTAGGTCCTTCCCTCAGTGACGGATCAATACGACTCGGCACGCTGGAAGCGTGTTGGTCGTTTCCTCGGAGGACAACGGGTCTGCTCCTACTTACAGGTTTTCACTGCAAGGAGGCTTTTCCTTGTGCACCTATCATATTCATGGAAACATCTGCAATATGATGACTTTCTGCAGATTTTCAGACCCCACATCCCCAGCTCTTGCTTTGGTATCTCTGTAATGCGCTGAAATGTAAGCAACGCTTCGTCACTGGCGCAATCTGCCATACGCCCGGCACCCTCACTGTAATCTCTTGCTACAGAGATTTCCCTTAAAACTGTACTTTCCTTCTGCAAGTTTCTGTGCTTTTTTCTGCAGTACCATGTGGAAGATGCCTGCTAACAGGCAGCTTTGGAAGACATTGTCCTGAAGGTGTACGGAAGAAATGGGCTCCTGAGGTTAGCATGGGCAGTTTTAGGCTGTTTTCTATCCAGTTTCCTGCCTATTAAATCCTTAGCTCCTCAAAAGAGAGTTATGGTAGGTCCACAAAAATGTTACTCAATGCTCAGCTGACAGCGTAAACAGGTGCTAGGAATTCCCCGGATTAACAAAGAAAGCAGAAAGCATCGCTGTCCACTGTGGAAGTCCAGGGGCACACACAGTTTGAATAATCTGTGTTTCTAATCTGTGTGTTTCTTGTCCCCCAACTTCTAAAAAGATATATTAGAAAAGATACAGAGAAGGGCAAGTAGGGAATGGGTTTATACAAGGAGTGGCTGAATACTCTAGGTTCCTCAGCCAAGAGAGATAATTACTGCAGAAAGTTATAAAATCATTACATGTATGAAGAAGACATGAGGGAAATCTTATTCTCTGCTTCACCATACAGTAAATGGGTGCGTTGCAGGGTATCGAAAATCTAAATGGGTTAAACAGCAACCAGAAAAATATGCAGAAAAACCACATCAGGGGTGCCTGAACAAAAGGAATACTTTTAGCCTGGCGGTTCTAGGGAGGGGAGTTTTAATTGTGTTTATCATGTTCTTATTGTCCATTCTTCTGTAGATATCTGCTACTGATAGCTGCTGGAAACTGGCTCGAAGTTGAGTCTGACCCAGAACAGCTCCTTTAATTTGTTATTGTAAATAGATTCATTCCTCCTGCCAAGAACTATTGCTGGTAAACAATAAATCTTACATCTGCAATTTGCTTCCTTACCACTACGTACTTCTTAGTAAGACAGACAGCCGCTTACTTTGCCCACTGCTTAAACCAACTGTCTGTTGCAATCAGTAAATTCAGAAACCTTTTCATGACATCAGACTTCTAGACATTTCTTGTCAAGGGCCTCTGAAATCCACACTAAGGAGTACACATCCCACAAGAATTGTAACGGGATATTTAGCATTCCACTCGTGGTCGGATGATGTACGTCATGCACATTGGTCACGACAGGTTTAATACCGAAAAAGAGGAATTAGGGGTGATAAAATAAAATAATTATGGAAATACCTTAGGTCATGTTCTGATTTTACTCCAAACTTGAAATGCAATAGGAGCAAACAGCTGATCACATACAGCATGTGCCAGCGAGCCCATTCCGCAGTGACTGAGGAAACTACGGCAGTATCCAACCTCTGGCTCTCGCAGCAGGGTATAGCACAAGCGTTTACCATGTCGGTAAGCAGTCAGCTCCAGTCTGAAAAACTAGAAATCAGTCCAAATTTGAAGTTAGACTGAGACAGAATGCTTTTCTCAAATATATTCTAACAGGATAGCTTACTAATAGTGTGGTGCACTCTGTGAAAAAGAAGCGAATAACCGCACAGGCAAAAATGAAATTAGATATGCCACTTGTGCAACTTCTTTTTTTCGGAGCAATGATTCACCTGGTTCAGTTGCTCATGAGGTTATCTAGTAGTGGAAGTTTTTGAGCTTACTCAACGCAGTGAGAAATTCAGAGCAGCAGGAAGATGAACTACATTTCCAGTTATTCTTATCTCAAGATATTTTTTGCACTCTTTTGCAAGAGTTTCAGAAAGACAGAGGCCTTTGCTTTATATTACAAGCAATGGACTTAAAACTTCCCAATTCTATAATTCTCTACCTGAAAAACACAAACAGGACTACATCCTTTTGCAGTGCCTATCAGTGACCTTCAGAATTTCTGGTCTGGAGCTGAGAGGAAGCAGAGTAGCTGTGAGAGGAACCAACTTGTGATTAATCTTGTAGATATGATAATGCTTTAGTTAGGTTTCTGCTTGCATTTCCCCCTTGGCACTCTATGTTAGCTTTCTCAGCTATGCTGATTTCTATCGACTCCAAAGCTCATATTTCTCACGTTATTGTTGCAGCCCCAATTCATGGCAACCAAAAATACTACCTGTCATTAAACGCAAGAGTACCCATGAGAAAAAGCACGGCTCCTTGGCCAAAGGGATGTGCCACTCTCCCTTGGCAATGTCCAAATGCAGGTTCAGCGTGGATACATTTATCAGGCGTTCCGACAAAGGAGTTGGTGCTAAGGCTGCAAGCTCCACCATCGCTATAGTTACTCGTACTGTTCAAACTGTAGCCTACATATTAACTGAAAGTTAATGCAATATACTCTATGCTACCCAAGAAAACGTCTAATACATATTTGCGTGCAACCCACAAACTGAACCAGTTAGCCCGTGCCTGTTCAGCACACACTAGTCTGTGATTTTAAGGGTGATGGTCAGGAAGATGTGACACCACATGGCACAATATTATCCTACTTTTAGGATAAAACGAGACCTTGAGACCTACTTTTAGTAGGATAAGGAAAAAATGTGAGGGTTTTTTTTTTTTCATTTCACTGTATCTCTCTCGCTTCCGTTAAAAAAACCCAACACATTTCCTACTGCTGCCTCTGTCTCTTCTCCCACTGGCCTGAGCCTGCCAGTTCTGTAATTAAAATAATAATAAATGCTGCTATTTCTGTTTTAGTGCAGGTATTTGGGAGGTAGCCAGACTCGTGCTTCTGCAGGAGTAATGCTTCATGTAACTTGGCAAGAACAGACCTTTGTGGATACCTCTGCAGTTTGTATGGAAATAACCTCACCCACATAATGGCTGATTAATTAGACCTGAGGCAGTGCAGCTGAGTTGAAAAGTAAGGAGAGGAAAAACCCACGACTTGCAGTACAGGGCCACGCTGAGAATAATACTTTCTCCCAGATCTCACGGCTGCTAATACAGTCTTTGGGCTGTTCCAAATATTTCTATTGTTCCTAATCAAACATGAAACAATTCCAAGGTAAGACAGCAGCAAAACAAAAAACTGGAATTCAGTAATAATATTAATTTGATGTAAAAAAAAAAATGCTATTTATAACACAGCATTATAACACTGATGAGGTAGAAACACGTATAGTTAATTCAGCCCCCGAAATCCTGCTTTTTTATCTGAAAATTCAAAGGCGAGCAGGTTAGGTGCTAGGTTATACGCACTTAGCTATCGCTGCACCCCCTGCAAAGTCTGTGCTTGTCATTTAGACTGTGAAATGCACTCTGCACCTAATATAGCATAAAGAAACTCCAGGCACAAGCTTTATTACCCCAGGAATAAATAACTGGAAAAACAGGATCGGACTGCATGCTTTGCATTTTCCATATGACGAAAAGTACACAGGCTGAGAGAGTGCACTAGAAGCAAACAGTGACACTTACCAAAAGCTAAAGGAAAACTGAAAAGGAAAAAAGAGAGAGAGAGAGAGAGAAAAGAATGAGACAACAGGAAACAATAAACTGGACATACTACAACATCAAAATACAAAGAAAGGCACCTTTAAGTGAAAAGCATATGAAATAAAGAAAATGACAATCATACGAAGACGAAATGAAACTAAAAAAAAAAAATCCCTTTTAAGAGACCTTTGTCCTCAGTTCCTCAGAATATAGGGTATCAGTGTTCCTTTCCTTCAAAGTCTCAGATCAAATTCTTCCACGAGACCCAAAGGACACACACCCCACAGGTGCTGGGCAGCCAAGCAAAAGTGAAGTTTTGGGACTGATTCACTAATGGGAGGTTACAGTGGCCCCGCCAAGATCCCAGAATAATCTGATAATCAGGATGTAGTTGACTGGGGTCCCTGAGACCAAAAATGACCCAGTGCTCCAGGCCCCAGCAGAATCAGCTCATTGCTTTTGTGAAGCTGTACCTCCTCACGCAGCGAGGATCGGGGACAGGCAGCAGCCCCTGGGGACACGCCACCGCCGGTGCAGGGGACAGGCACCCGAACGGCGCAGGAGCCAGCCGGGAGGCAAGAACCGCAGATGGTACCACTGCTACGCGATAACCCTGCCTCGGTGCACTCACAGTCTGCCGTGCGGGCTGGAGTGGACTTCTGCCTTCAACAATGACAGACTCTAGGTCTGGCTCTACGTAAAAGCCAACAAAATTATAAAATTTCCAGTTTCCATTTCAACATGTAAAGAATAGTATAGTAGGCTTACTAAAAATATCCAGTCTACAGTATGTGTCTGAAGCACTCACTTCATTAAAACAAACCCTGGACCAGTAGAAGCTAGAACAATAGAAAATATGACTAGAGAAGCAAGACATGAAAATCTCTTTTAAATAGAACAAATCACAGTTAATACATCTGCTAGAAGCACAGTCACCTAGAAGTGGAAATGGAAGGCAGGTGAGAAAGGAGGCAGTCTTAAATGCCTTCAAAGAAACGAGAAGCCCACCATTTCAAGCCTGTGGTCTCCTACGCACCCCACTGACATTAGCAGGTGCCACGGTCATGTATACGTGAATATACAGCAATAATTAACAGCAAATAGAATTACACACTATGTGAAGAAGCAGGTTATGTGTCTCAAGTGATTAACCCGAACTATCTGCTAATTCCTTCCAACTTCACAAAATAGCTGGACCTATTAAGATCAAAGGAGATAAACCCGCTACATGACCCCTGTGCTCTCCCCCTCTCCCTGGTTCCAGGCACAAATCCTGCGGCGGAGGGGAACAGGCCCATCTGCCTTGGCACGGCGCTCCTCTCTGCAACTCCTACTCACCCTTCCAGGAACAAGCGGAGCCCTGGGGACCTAATCTGAGGCCATCTCACTTTCCGTTAAAAGACAACTCACAGAACCCAGTGCCAGATCCCCAGGAGTATCCTGTAACCGTGGTGGTATTCTATAACCATTAATTCAGTAGTTGTTCCTGGGTGCTGGCACAGAACAAGTATTTGCCATAAAGTCCTGAATTTTTTTGTATGATTTCTATTAGCTATTAATTTATGTTCACTTTTCCTGCTGAAAGACTCTTCTCCCAAAGTTTTTATTCAGTACTGTCACATATGCCTTTCCTGTTCTTTTCTGGCTAGGAAGGGGTATATCTTGCATTTACATTATTAAAATATTCATAATTCTCATCAGCCAAAGGCCTGGAATAAAGTATGGCTTCTTTATGTCCCATCAGTGAAACTCCTGGTTTTAGTTTGGCTCCAGTCAGTAGGGCTACATGTGGCACAAAAGTGGCACTGTTATCTTTGATTCTGATGCTTCTCAGATTTCCCTTCATACACACAGAAAAGAATTAAAAATACCCCCACTTTATATATGTCAGCTTCTCAAGTTTGACCCTGACACACAGTAAAGGCATGCAAGAAACACTGGTCCAAAAAACTCAGAAACCCACTCAGAATATTTTCAGGCGAGAATTTTAAGCAGAAATATTCAAATTTTTAAAAAGTTAACTGAAGACAAACCATTTCTGGAAGAGTATTTACATAATTAACTGCATATAAATACAGATTAATCAAGACGGTTTGGCAGATTCCACTTCATCCAAGTTACGTAACCACGGTGTACTTCAAACGCTAACCATGATTTTTTTAAACATAATTTAAAATGCTAACCAGAGGCTTACAATTCAGTTCAGTTAACCGAAGCATTCACTTCGTTTCACCACCAAACTCCAACTATTTAAACTGACAAGGCTATTTTGGTTGCTATTTTGTGAGACAGGCAGAGAGAACTCGCTGCAAGCACTTGGTGATCTTTAACTGCCACGTTAACACTTCAAACCGCAGTTATCAGGGCAAAGGGGTCAAAACCACCCCAAGAGCGTGGACTGGAGAATTATAATTAGCTCCCAAAAATCACCGAATATTCACTTACCTAATTTCATGGGAGAAAATATCCAAACATCAGTTCCTTTAGTGTTTTTCATGATTATCTTTGTCGCAGCTAAGTAGCCTGAGAAGTTTAACATGTTCCTACCTCTTGCCTTCTTTAGCCTTGTTTCTACAGCTGATCTCTAAGCCCTTAAACTTTCACGAACTTGATGGCGACTGTCCCTACACAGTCACAGGGATTTTCCCGCACTCATCAGGCTGTAATCTTTTGGGAGCAGGAGCCAGAGTTATTTTGGCTGTAAAATGTCTAACGTGTTTCGGTTGCTAGGTAAACCAATAAACTGTATACACGATGCTTGGGTGAGCCATTCAGAAGACAAGTATAGTTATCTGGTTAGTGGTTTCTTCACCTGATCACACAGTAATGACTGTGCTGCTCACGAGATAAGACTTTCACTGTCTCACTTCGTGGCTCAGGTGAAATCGAGGGAAGGATTTGACCTTTATGTTTTATGTCAGCCTCTGAAACTGTTAACACTGCATGTGGACAGGTTGGCAAGCTTACCATGTCAGCGCAACACCTAGCACAGGTGCTTTTCTCAACGAATCACAGAATTGCAGATTGGCTTGGGGTTGGAAGGGACTTTTTGAGGCCATCTGGTCCAACCCCCGTGCAGTGAGCAGGGACAGCTTTGACCAGACAGGGTTGCTCTGCGCCCTGTTCAACCAGGCCTGGAATGTTCCCAGGGATGGAGCATCGACCACCTCCCTGGGCAACCTGGGCCAGGGTTTCACCACACTTACCATAAAAAATTGCTTCCCTATGTCCAGTCTAAATCTACTCTCCCTTCAGCCCTGCTGAAAATATTTCTGCCATCTTTCCTACAGGCCCTTCCAGGCACTGGCAGCTGCTCTAAGGTCTCCCCGCAGCCTTCTCTTCCCCAGGCTGAGCAGCCCCAGCTCTCCCAGCCT